TATTCTCCTATTTAGCTACTGAATGACCTGTCTGATCCTTAATTATTTCATGTATTATAAATGAACTAATGTATTAACAATGAAATACTTCTAATTTGAAAATTGATTGATTAGCAAGAGCTAATGTATCTACAGGTGATGACAAATCTCAAGGGCCACCTTAAGTTGGAGAGTTCCAAACTTATGTGATGAATCTCCAAAAAAGAAAATTTCTATTTTTTTTAGACATTTTCTCACTTGGAGTGGTTTGCCTATTTACTAAAGCAAAGAGCTAATAAGAAAGAAATATATTCATCCTAATTTCCTTTTTCACACCAAACATCTGGCTACAGGGGTCTTAACCCTGCATGGTTCTGTAGATTAAACAGCAGTGAGATTATCCAATGCCTTCTGTAAAACATTGTGGTAATACGTTTCACATACTTGCCAACCCTCCCTATTTAGGAAGGAGACTCCTGGTTTTGGACCCTTAAATTTAGTATTTTCAACCAGTGAATTTGCTTAACTGTTCTTATATTCTAAGATCTAATTATTTCATCGCAAAGAACAACTTATAATATGCCATTTTAAAGGGTTATTTTGTCTCTGGGGAGTTTGTGTTTAATTTTTGAGCGTGCAGAATCTCCCCAGTGAGATTATCCAATGCCTTCTGTAAAACATTGTGGTAATACGTTTCACATACTTGCCAACCCTCCCTATTTAGGAAGGAGACTCCTTGTTTTGGACCCTTAAATTTAGTATTTTCAACCAGTGAATTTGCTTAACTGTTCTTATATTCTAAGATCTAATTATTTCATTGCAAAGAACAACTTATAATATGCCATTTTAAAGGGTTATTTTGTCTCTATGTTACACACATTTTATTTGTGTTTAATTTTTGAGCGTGCAGAATCTCCCCCATGGAAATTTTAAAAAGTTGGCGAGTATGGTTTCAGTAATATGACTGGAAATGCTAACAAAATAATCCAACTCCCCAAAAAAGGTCTGTAACCTTTAATCACTATCTTCCCTCATGAAAAAAAATTGCTGAATTTTGCTGAATTTTGCTGAGGATTTGCTGAACTGTTGCTGAAAATTTGCTGAAACTAAAATTGGATGCTGAACCATTGCTTACACAGTTTCTACAGATGCTGAATTTTGTACATAAAATAAATCTAACAGTAATGCCCGGAGCCTCTCCCCTTAAGTGACATCTCACCGAAATGTCACATCCACACACAAAGCATCATGACATCTGACCTAAAGCATTGGCCAGATGCTGGAAAGATAATATTAGCATCTTATAAGTCAAGGAGAACACAGTATGTTGTGATTGTGTCAGCACTGTAAGAGACCAGGATCTGTATGTTGAATATGATCAGCCTGCGGCCCCAGTGTTAACATTGTGGAATAGGATCGGCCTGCAGCCCCAGTGTTAACATTGTGGAATAGGATCAGCCTGCAGCCCCACTGTTAACATTGTGGAATAGGATCAGCCTCCAGCCCCAGTGTTAACATTGTGGATGCTAAATCCAAATATTGTCAGCACAGGTTCAAACCCTAATGACTATTTTTACTTCTTCCAAATTTGGTGTAGTTTCCAGGGACATACATTACTGAACTCCAAGATTCTTTGCTACAAGCTGTTTCCAAATGCTGCCTACAAGATGACTTTCCAAATCTTCACCTTTATTATAAATGTCATTCTAAATTAGAACCTGGCTTCCAACCTTTTCACTGCTAGTGTTAATGTCATTCTACACCTCTGTAAGCACTTCCAAATCTTTATTAATGATCTCCATGCTCTTAGCATAAAAAACCCAGGTCCCTCCTTGATCACTTTACCACGGCTAATGGAAACCTGTCTATATACAGCCAGACTTCTCTACCTCAGATTCTGTTTGTGCCCTATAATTCATTTACAGCCATCTTCCTGCTGTCTGATGGGACATGGAAACAAATTCTAGACTATATTTGGCACACTCGGCTGAAAAAAGACGCCACTTTTTTCTTCATTTCTGTTTCAAATATTTTTTTAAAGATTAAATTATTACCCACATTATTTTTCCTTCACAACTAGACACATATATATCTAGTATTTTTGGAGTAATTCTCTTTGGCTTTTTTATTACATACACTGTCACGGAGACAGCGTGACTTGAGCATGTTTGTCACAAGAAACCATTCCAGTAGAGTAAAGCAAAGTAGTGCTGGCTCCGACACCATTAGTGTTTGACAGAGTGCTAGTAGACATATGTCGGGAGCTTATCTGTGTTGGACCTTAAGACAGGATCTTATTGAAATAATGGTATGTTGCAATGTAAATGTTGGGGTGATTCCTGGTGGTAAGGACCTTACTGAAATAACAGTATGGCGAATGTTAACGTTTGGGCGATTCCTGGTAGAAATGCTGCTCATCCGCTGTCACTAATACTTTAGGCTATATGGTACCTTAATGGGAACCAGCATTTCATTTCTAAAGAATTTTTACACTTTGACAACTGCAAAATGTTGACCTGAGCTAAGTAAATAATTCAATGATAAATTCAAAAATTAATATATGGCTCAAGTTATTTGGAATTTGTTGAAACACCCATATTTTTAAGCAAGGGAAATAACTCAAACACAAAATTGGATATTGTGTAAAGTACATTTATGTCTATTAATCATTTGTATGTCTGTATGTGAAATACAAATTACAGTCAGAGCACTTTAAATCTGAACTAACGAAGAAACATCTTTATGTTACAGTATATCTGTATTAGAAACACATATACAGGAGTGATTGTAGAATGTGTTCACGTAATATAAAACTTGTGCACTCAGGAATACTAGATGCTCTGTTCGAAATTAAAGTACATAAAACTGATCAATGCTTAAAATGCTAGCTAATACATCTTGTGTTCCCACTTCATCCTGTAATGCACTAGAAACAATCACCATAACCCGACATTAAATCGGAATACCATGCGACAATTATTAACGCTAAGAATTAATAAAAACAGCAGGAAAGCTGGAGAGCTATCCAATCCATTGTATTTCTATTGCCAGTACTGGTAATCACAATCAATGGCATATTTCCTGGCGTAAAACAGAACTCCATAACCATACGAATCTTCAAACACACCGTCTCTCAGAAAGATGATTTACTGGAACACTAATAATTCCCCAGGTCAATAATTCTTTCCAAATTTTATATAAATACCCAGATCATTACCTCGAAGAATGCCAATATCTTCTAGATTGATGATAACAGAAAAAAACATTGAAGATACATAATTCAATCAAAGCCTTCTTCGAAAGCCAAGTACATGTAATTAAATTTTATGTTTAATGTATCAAATTCTTCTGAAAAATTCATCAAATAAAAATTGAAAAAAATTCACACACAGCATATATGAATTTCCTCAATAGGAATATTTGATTTTCAGTGGCCCATACCTCATGATAACCTGTCGATAATAGGATTAATATTCTGCACTGGAGGATTCCCTGACGAGTATATTCCATGGCAAGGCCAAATGTGGATGGAGCACCAGCTACACGTGTGTGTAATTACGTGGACCAGAAGGCCCTGTAAGTCTCATTAGTAGCTTGTCAGACATACCCAGCCCCCACATCAGGTGAAACCTATGTTTCAGGAAAATCTAACTTAATAAAGCTTGTCCAGGAAACACAGGAAGACAGGTCCCAGACCAAGGTCAAGGTTGCTCACCTGTCAGACACGAGGATAAAACTGGCCTGAAGATGACAGGTGTACATTACACCAATATAAAACATACCTACAAACCTTTTTCTCATACCTGTTTGATTTCTAACTGAAAATAGGTCATGACCTCGATAAACATGTGTTCACAGGTGAGAGAAATAACATCTATTTAGGTCAAATGTCAGAATGGGTAACAGAAATAAGAACACTTTAATTTGGCTGAACGTGGAGGTCCAGCTGGTATAAGGAGATGCTGTATCAGACATATATAGAGTGTAATGAAGGGCCCATTCTAAAACACATCTGCATTGGATATATATAAATTATACCAAGGTCAACAAAGTAAAACCCTCACTCCCAACTGTATACATTTGTTTAACACACTGTATCTATGTAGATTATCATCTTAAATGATAATCTATAATGGAGACTGTCACAATAGATTTGTTTAGGGTATTACAATCCTTATTTATGCTCAATATGTGATTGTGCTAGTGCTTTTCTGTTAAAGATTTATTATTGTAAGGTGCAAAAGATATTAGTTAACCAATAAACTGATCAGCACTTTTACCATGACTCCCTTACCAGAACCTTCTCATGTTGACCAGGCCATCGAGGTCATCTTAAGAGATGACAACACCTGGTGGACACCTTGGGCCTGTTCTTTTATGCAGAACAACTAGCTGGTATGCTCGTTTTTAAATGTAACATTTTTGGGTTTAAAACCTGACGGACCTGCAAAAGTTTATGCAGGCCTTGCAAGGCTTGGTAAAGGCTTGCCAGAAAGCAGCATCAGATTTATACTGGGTCCGACTTTATTTCATAAACGAACAACTCTGGTCTAACCGTTTGGACAGCGATATATGAAAACGACCGTTGACTCCTAAACCAGGACCCGTATTCATGAAACCAGTGCATGCTCACACTCCGATTCGGTTCTCAATCACAAGTTTCTTGTTCAGGTGATAAATTGATTAATTTTTACATTTTGTCACTGTCTTGAAAGTATACACTTGACATTTCCACCGTGTCACAGGATTTAAGCAAATAACAAAAAAGTTGGTTTGAGCACAGCATGAGAATGGCTTCATCACAAGCCAAGGACCCTATATCCTGAAACTTACTTACAGTGTTCAGGTATTCAGAAGATAGTGACACCTGGTGGTGAATACCATCACTCCTAAACCATATAACCCCTGAATTGAACCATCTCATTTTTTTCCAGGAGATGGAGAACCTTGTAGTAAACATCCTGATCCCTAACCCATGACCCCAGACCAGGAGTGAACACCCTGACCTCACACACTCTCACCTTGTCAAGGAGATGGTAACAGCTGGCAGTGGACTCGATGCGTTCACGTATTTCCTCCAGTCTGCCTGTGAATAGTTGAAGATGTTTCTTTAAGGTACGGGCTAGTTCCTTGTACCCTGTCACTTCGTCAAAGTTGCCCGACTGGGCCAGCATGCTTGCCTCCTCCAGGAGGTCATTCCCCTTCTCTATGTGGGTCTGTAACATACAAAATGACATTGTAGTGACCTATTTACATTAAACCATACCCCCATACCTGTGACCTGTTACATCAAATAAGACAACAGTGACCTGTGTCAAAACATACACAGTATACATTGACCATACATACAGGTCTACACACTAGTTACATTGAACTACTGTATACCGGAAATTCTTTGCTGCAGTTTAACTTCCAATCTCCATAATGAAGGCGAGTATCCATTACAGCGAATGTAAGTAAACCAAATAATTCACAGTGAAATTAACACTGCAATCCCAGTATACAAGTGACCTAGTAATAGTGTTATAGTCTGCAATCCCAGTATACAAGTGACCTAGTAATAGTATTATAGCCTGCAATCCCAGTATACAAGTGACCAAGTAACAGTATTATAGTCTGCAATCCCAGTATACAAGTGACCTAGTAATAGTGTTATAGCCTGCAAGCAAACTAAAAACTTCTTCCTTACGACTATCCACTAGTTGTAAAGAGTAACACCATACACAATGAAAAATAAATTACATATAGTAAACTACTGCACACATACTTACAAGGTTTCACTGAAATCTATTACACACTTTAAAAGAAGTAGTCTGGGCAAACTTGTGGCGAGATAGACAATTTGATTCCACCAATTACGTATACATCCTACCCCCACTGCATGATGGTATAATAAATCACTTGAAGTGTTATGTTAAATCACATTTACACTGTATTACAAAGCATGCTAAACAAAATTTGAAACGTAGGTACAGAAAAAATAGAGTCACCGGTACATACAAATTCATTGCAATCACTCTTTTACTTTTGGAAAAGATGTCTGGACAAGTTTTTTTGATAAATATAAAGGGGCATAATCCCTTAAAAGGACGGGAAACTAAACTTAGAACACAGGTTTAAGTACGATACATGATATACTGATCATGTATGTAAAGTTTTATTCAAACCAGTATGTTAGTTTAAGATTACTTGTCCTGGTAAAACTGTGAGTTAAAGGGGCATAACTCTCTGGAACAAATTTCAGCTATAATTTGTAAAGAAGCATACAAACTTAAACTTAGCGTATAACATAGTTATAACGTATAAGGTAGCATACAACCTAAACTCTGGCACAAATCACGAGTAAAAAGTGTAAGGTAGTATCCACCCTTAAGCTAAAATCTCTGGTTAAGTTGACAAAGTCATGAACTGATGAGCCTAGACCAGAAATTCATAAATCCGTAAATCTAGCAGGATATCAATTCTGCCGATGAGATCATGACTAGGTAAATACTAAACTTATCATTTTACTAAAACACCAATGCTGTGTATATTTTCTCTGCAGACGTACAGTTATACAAATGTATGAGTCATTTATGCCCAATGTTTTATCCTCCTTACACAGATAAGTGTATGTTGTACTAACAGCTCCATTGCCCTAACGGATATACAGGAGGAATAAAAGTGACACGCTGGAGGGGTCACATACCTCATGTCAGAAACAAGGTGATTCAATTATTAAACCAATCCCTGCTGGTTACTAAGAAAGATTTAGAGCATTTTCTGCACAAACAAGTAGGTGCATTATCTGGTAACCATTGGTTCAAATTAAACCCAGCAGGTTTTTAGTGTTAATGACCTCCTACTGTCATTCAGTTCTCAAAACCTCAGTATGACTTTAGCCCTTGCTACTGTTCAATGACTAAACAGCTAAAATGTTGTTACATGTAATACAAATTATTTTCAAAGTATGATTTTTGAGATAAAACTTTTACATTTCCAGTGTTCAGATAATCATTTTGAATCTGAATACATTAAGTTTGAACTCTGAATTTCAAAAGATTTTGAAAATGCTATACTACATGACGATATTAATTCATTAACAGATCATTGAATAAATTTGGATTTGAACAACTTGACCCATGTGTTGCATTGGTTATGTCAAACATGCAGACAAGGTTCTAAAACAATTAAGATACAAGTCAACTTTGATGAAGCACAGACTGCTGTCAATGTTGCAATGTCAGATTTCCTTGGATGTGTTGAACTCCTGGAGAATGACACACATCCATACGTACCCACAACGAAGTCAGTCTGTCTGTTACAACATTCCTGTCAGTGACAGGACACTGCCACCTCAGATCATCCTCGGTGTCCGAGAATAATAAAAGACCTTAAATTGACATCAAATAAGCCATTGTCCTTCAAATCCTCCTATTTCTGATACAGTGTCAGGAGATCGTAACAGTTACTAAGGCAAAATGAAACCAGTCAACGCCTATGGTCAGCTCTCATCAGTGGTCACTTCACATCCCTAGATCAGTGGCCGTGTTCATTGGTCATTCAATGCACGGTCAGTGATTGCAGCCAGCTCGAACCATCTCCTTAACACTGGACCCTGGGGTCATTTACCCACATATCGATTTTTTTATCATAAAACACAAATTGATTTCCATAGCAACCTACCTAAAGTTGAGTTGGTGTGGAGCGTCTGTCACCATAAATGGTTCATTACAAGTAAGAGTTTGATTGAGAAAAACATTTTGTTCTTGCCATTAATTTGTTACCACGACAATCAAACAGCCTGCCTCGTGTGGAAATCAGATTTGAGGAGACAAACAAATCTGTCTCTCTGTCTCACACAGTTAATGAACTATTGGTGACTGCTGATTAATTCAGTTAGAATTAATTAGTTTGAATTCCATTTATCTAAAGTTTTTTTAACTGGTCAAAAACTGTTCTATAAAATTCACTAATTGGGTAGAAACCACTGTATATGTGTTGCCAGTTGCCACCTCCAGCCGTGTATGTTACATTGACCATGTTAATGTGGATACAGCACCATCATTATCCTTGACCATCCTCAATGTTCTAGTGACTACCAATGTCCAAACAACAACCACAGAGCTACACAATTATTATATCGCTAGTTTTAAGGTTTTGTGTTGAGGTCAATGGGCTGGCATCATATATAACCCTTTTTTTCATAACTCATCTCTGATTACCTCCCCCTGAGTGATGGCGAGGAAACATGCCAATATAAACATACACATTATAAAACACAACTGTGCTAAGGCCACAGAGACACCAGCCCCAGCTGGTAAAGATGTCTAGAGCATTTTATATCTTTTGATCCCTGGTGGGCTGGTAGACTTCTAAACAGGGCATTATGTATCACCGACTGAGGCCATTGATGAACTTTCCTATCTTTACTGTTAAATGTACAGATAATGAATAAAAAAATCAATTCAGAAAATATATATCTTAACCCTTTGCCACAAAATTTAAATGGAAGTCACATTTAAAATGAATTAAGTAACCAGTCTGAGAAGGAGCTGAGAACCTCTCGGAAGAGATGACACTTAAGCCTACTGCTGTGTCAACGCAAAGCCACCCTAACAGACATTGCTTAAAACAAAAGGTTCAAATCCAGCCACCCTACACGGGTATTGCTCCAGACCAATAGAGTCTCCTATAGAAGGCAGACCAAAGACTACCTGTAAAATTGATCCCCTGATATCGACTGATGATCCCACCGATATATTTTTCAGTTTGGAAATACCATTCCATTCCCACCCCAACCTTAGTACCCAGTGAAAGTCAATAATCAGACCTGCACTAATAGAGCTTGGTAAAAACAAGTCAACTTGTAGATTGTGATTTTCTTTTTAAGTGGCGATGATTACTGTTTCTTCAACTGAATCTTTTCTATAGTTACCACAAACAAATATGAATAAACAGTTTTGAATTAAAATAAGACATGGAAAAACAACTGGATAACTAGGGTAGATTCTGAGATGTGTAAAAAACACCAGCACCAGACTGTTTGCACCCTTTGCTGAAATAGTCATCAAATCGAATTTCAATTTCAATTTATTTAACATCGTAACGTTTACAAACATTTTTGTCGTTCATATCTACATTAATATTTTTCAATCTCTTCACATGAATATGCTTCCGACATATTCCAAATGAAATTATTTGAGATACAAAAATTCCATTTGAAATATTTTAGAAACCAAAATTCCATTTGAAAACCAAAATTCCATTTGAAATTATTTAGATACCAAAATTCCATTAAGTGGAAACTGTCAGAGGTCTACTGTAAATCTTTGTCATAGCTCTGAAGTCAGTGTCTTTATTGGAACCAACAGTTACAGAAATAACACATAATCCTGTAATTCCTTAGAAATGGAAGCATGTTCTGTAGAGAATGGAGTATAAGGTCAAGGTCATCAACAGGTCATGCCAAGGTCAATGTCCAGATGTATCATGTCTTGTCAGCTTGATATGTTCTGTTAAAACTTTGGAGTTCTATTTTTAACTTTGAATAATACAAATTAACTTTTAGCTTGAATAATTATGAAATTAACTAAGATCTTACTTTTTACCTGATGTATCATTAAGCTGTATCAGTAAGCCTGCTAAATTCCGTTCACACAGAACAAACACCAAACAAACCACAGACTGCCAACTAGTCCCTTTCACAGACCATAAAGCTGTGCAGATTCTAGACAGACAGGTGTAACACATCAGCACACCTGTAGTCTTACATGTCTCCGGAAGAATTCTGTATGGTTACCGATAACAGCAGAAAATCATCTTGATCCCGAAATGACTTCCCACACAAATATAATATCTTATCTGTATACTATAACACTCCTATCTTTGTAAACATTGCTGGGATATTTCAGTAACAAACACAAACTCAACAGTAGTGATGTTTCTATCTGGTCAGTCCAGCGACCCGGGATATTTAATGATATATTGAAACTCTTGTTTAGTCACACAACTTATTATTTTATTCCCTAATGTGACACATGGTCACAATTGTCACAATTCAACATTTAATTCACAGTAGTCTGTGAGTTTTGTGTAAAAAGTAATTCAGGAATCACAACCTAAATGTTAGTACCCTTGAACTCTTTCACATGATGATTGTAAATCTGTCTAACCACTGAATACAGGTAAAGTTATATATTTACAATAAGGCAATAAAGATGTTTAGAACAAAGTCTATTGAAGAGATAAATCATTCTAGGAATTTGAAAAGATAGCAAATCATTTAGGATGATTCAACATAACCTCATTCTGAAGTAGTGTCCAATACTTGGGCCAAGTAGTCAAACAAGAGGCCCATGGGCCTTAACGGTCACCTGATATATTTATACAGAGAGTTGATTTTGTTTTTAACATAAACAGAAATATTATTCAAAGTGACAAAAAACAATAAAACCACCTTACTCAAAATCTAGCATACAGATTTCAGACTGAAAAGGATTTGAAACTAGCACCTCTGATTCTTAACAAGGAAAATGAAGAAATTTTAGCACACTGACTCCTTTGAGCCCCACCCTACAGCCCTTGGGGGTAGGGCTGGCTCAAAATTTTCAAAGTATCAAACTGTCAATTCAAGGTTATAATTCCAATCAAGTTATTAACATGTAATATTCAAAGTATCATTTGCCATTATAAACCATAATAAATTTT